GGGGGGGAATGGCTGCCCTCAGTTCTGCTATTCTTTGCCTCTTCCTTAGTTGTCCTTGCAGGGCTGCCTCCATCTCATTGTCCGTGCGCCAATCCTTTCTGCCTTCGTCCCAAAGGTGACCCACCTTATAAACTCCCCACTCCGGCCATTTCCAGCCATATGCTCCTTGCGGTCCTTGCCATGGGAACGGTTCACCTGCTGCGTCACATATGAACCTGTTACCCAAGAGCAGCTGGTTAAAGACTGCGTTTGCAGTTTCCGGCAACCGACACCTCAGGTTCACTTTTCTCCATAGGGCCAACCTCGTGGTCCAAACTGTGTTCCTGCAAACATGGCCTATCGCTGAACTGTCTAGTAAACATAGATCCACGAGTTCTCCCGTTATCTGGAGCGCGTAGGCCAAATGGATTTGGGTAACTTGATACCAAGTCCCTCCCTCCGTGCGAAGCAGGGCCCAAATGAGGTGCCGTATTTGCAGCGGGTCTTTAAGATCCACGGGGATTTTTTTTATTTTTTTTTAATTATTATTATTATTATTATTATTATTATTATTATTATTATTATTATTATTATTATTATTTTTAAGCCCAGGGTGTTGTAGAGGCCAAGGACTAGGCCCACGGTGATCGCTGGCAGCGGCAGCCGGTGGTTGGCCTGACAGGATAGGCCACCCTCCCTACCCTTCCCCACGTATAATGCTTCCAGCAGGGCCAGCACACCCCCTATCCCTACTATCCTACCTCAGTGTGACCAGCACTCAGGACCATCACCCTATCGAGGGCAACTTGGACCAGACAGCAGTGACAAGCACCCTCTAACACTAACACCCCCATCCCCCTTTTCAAAGTTTTTGGGTGGGAAGTACCGTCCCTACCCTGCCACTAGCACCCCCCGCCCCCTTTTCAAAGTTTTTGGGCAGAAGGTTAACGTTTGCAGAAAGCCAGGTAAATTGTTGTCAATGCCTGCTGAAGCCCGTGCTTGCTGAAACCCCACCACTAACACCCTCACCATAAACCCCTGGACCCCCAACCCCTGAAATACCACCCCCCCCAACCCCC